TCTCTATAATTCTAGTCCTTCCTCAATCCTGCGCTAGTCTCTTACTTTTCTTCACTACCTCTTATAGAAAATCGTCTAAAACAAGAGCATCTTAATGCCTCAGGACATTTGCACCACCTGTTTTTATCTCTCTGGAATGTTCTTTCTCCAAATGTGTGAAGCTCACTCCCTCATCTCATTTCAGTCTTTGTTCAAAGAACAGATTCTCATTTCCTAATCATCAGATTTAAAACTACAAGCACCATCCCCAATATATAAATTTCTTCCTTTTTTATTTCTTATACAACATTTAATTGGGCTCCCTGGTGGCAGTGCTTAGTGGTGAAGAATCCACCTGCAATGCAGGGAGACGTGGATTTGATCCCTGGAAGGGGAAGATCCCCTGGAGAGAGGGCAGTGGCAACCCACTCCAATATTCTTACCTGGAGAATCACATGGACAGAGAAGCATGGTGAGCTACAGTCCATAGGGTCACAAAGAGTTAGATGTGACTTAGCACATACGTACACACTACTTAATACCTTCAGACTGTACATTTAAGCTATTTATTATTTTTTCTTATTCCCTTTATTAGAAGATAAGCCCCCTGATAGAAGGATTTTGCAGGTATCAGTAACATCTTTACGCCATCACCTAGAACAGAGCCCAGTACAAAGTGGATATATGCATAATGTACATTTGCTGAATATGAGAAAATCTTTATCCTGAAACTGCCAAAATAAATTAGTGATAGAGTGACGACATTTATTTTCATTCACTTTGAATCTACTTGGATGAATACTAGAGTTATTTCTTTATTATTAGCAGGAATTTAAACATCACGAATCCAGATGGTCAGATAGAATAATGAAAGGCACATAGAAATGTGTTTTGAATTTGTGCCAACTTGGCAGCAAGCTCTGAGCAGCTTCCCGAGTTTGTATTCTTTAGAGATTCTATCTCCCTAAATAGTCTGTGGCTGCTCCTTCAAGAAAAAAAAAAAGAAAAAACAGTTTTCAAAATCTTAAATATAATTTGGATTGTGTGTCTCTGAACCTCTAGCCAGTTTGATTTTTGAGAACTCGTTTAGTTATTTGACCCTACGTTTTGCATTAGTGTTTCTATTTCTTTGCATATAAATGATTTCATTCTATTTAAAGGTCACGATCTTCAGAAACCAATGCTAGTGCTGCTGCATGATAGCAGTAGAAAATAAGAGATGTAAATTTGGAAATATTCTGCTAAATTGTGAAATAAGAAAAATGTACAGATTGAGGATAGTATCAATTTATGGAAGTGTTAGTATTCTGGAAAACACAAAATTTTAGAGAAGATTGGAAAATCTTCTGCTAATGAGAAGTAAATGACTTAACCAGGAAAGGCTTTGAAGATTAATTCCTCAATGAACATGAAACCCTGAAGCAGCTGCCTTTTGGCTTTGAAGAAGTTTGGGTTTTACAACATTGTAAGCTGTGTGTAATGACAGGAAATGTAAGAGAAAGGAAGTTTGCTCCTACCAACACTATAAAGAAGCTGGAGGAAGAAGTTGACGTCATCACTGAAACTTCAGTCATAAATAGGATGACATTATCTTGTGGAAATCATTTAAGAACTAAGGAAATTTTTATTCTATTCTTATGTCTATGAAAGGCTTTTAGTTATTTTAAAGTAAGTTAATCTCTTTTTAAAGGCTTACTTTCTGAAGGCAATCATTTGCCAATGTTGCCTGACTCAGAATAATTACAGCACAATATCTAAGACACAAAAACTATGGGTTCAATTTGGAAAAATGCAATGAATTTTCTAATTTTCTGAATCAATAGACTAGGGCAAATTAAGGTTATAAAAATCTAACCTCAAATCAGTACTTCTTTTTATTTATTCCCTTTCCTTTTTTAAGCTATTTTATTTCTTTTATATCCTTTGGGCCCAAGGGTACATTAAATGCTTTACATCAATTTATTACTATGTTTAGGCAGCACTGCTGAATGGGTCATCTTATATGGAGGAAATTAAGGTATAGAGGTGACAGATAATAAAACTAAGCTATTTTTTTTTGCTTGCTGAGCAAGGGAGAGCTACAACACTGGAGCAAGTTCAAAAAGTTTTCCTGAGATCTGAAAAAGAAGGTATCAAGGAGAAATGTATTCCTTATCAAGAGACATGTCATACATTAAGTTCACTTTTCTTTTCCTTTGGACTGGCTATTTCCCTGGTTTTCTTCATTAAATCACAGGTACTAATTTCAGGGATGTTCTATGTGGGTTATGTAGGGCTCTATGAAGGGCATAAACATACTTGGGATGAGGCAGATTTTTCCTTAAAAGAGCCGATACATGTCTTGCCCCAAATCACTCAGGTGGTGAGCGGAGGTATTAGAATATGAAACAAAATTGTTTTATTCTGAAGTCCTTGTTGTAGTTTTTGTTGGTTTGCTGTTGTTGTTTTCCTATGTTGAACCCTTGGCTTGAAAGAATTCTGTTTTAAAACATAATCTTACTATAAAGGAAGACCCAGAGGAAAAAATTCAATCATTATAGTCCTTTGTTCACATTTAATCACCAGATTTCTCAAAAGCAAAAACAAAGGATAAGCAAATAAACAAACAAACAAAAGTGCCCAACAACAAAAAAGGGGACCCATGTGATGATCTATTAAATGCAAATGGAAACATTTATGTTAATGTGGTTTAAGGTTCATTCTTCCAATATTGTGGGGAATTTTTCCTAACAAACTAAGAGATTGTTATTATAGATGAAGAACGTGAGTCACAGAGAGATTAATAAATTGCCCACTGTCACCCAGCTGGATAGTGTTGGGTCAAGTGTTGATCCAAGGAGTCTGGCTTCAAGACCATGTTTCTATCATGTTATGTTTCCAGACATAATGCTGACTACCAAAGGGTACAGAGAGAAGAGATACTACAAGTGACTTTGATTTTAATCATGATACTTGTGAATATGTTATCACACAAATTTCCTATAACTTTTAAAATTATCTCCTGGTTCCCTTCTTTATTTGTTGTAGCAAATACTTTCTGAAAGTATTTCAGCTGATTGATGCTATTCTTTATATATTCATGTTATTCATGGATTTTAGTTTTGTGGTTCAGTCTGCTTGTAGACTGCAGTCCATGGGTCACAAAGAGTCGGACACAACTGAGAGACTGAACTGAACTACTAGTAGAATTTGTAATATTCCGTGGTGGAGATGATTCATTGAACATGGAAAGAAATGAAGTCTTTTTACCACCACTAATATATAACCAACTGTGTGTATATTATATATAAATTGGAGAAGGAAATGGCAACCCACTCCAGTGTTGTTGCTTGGAGAATCACATGAGCCAAGAAGGCTGGCAGGCTATAGTCCATGGGATTGCGTGAGTCAGACACGACTTAACAACTAAACCACAACCGCCATATATATACATATATACACACATACACACACATATATATGTATAAATATTTGAAGTGCCCTACTGAGAATGAATAAGCAAAACAAGACTTAATTAAAAATGTCAGATTAAGTTGCAGGCAGGATCTTAGAACCATTATAAACACAATGTTTTTTATATATTGGCTTGAGATATTAGGTACAAAAGCATACATAGTATATATAGTTAAATGTTATATGATCTAATCTGTAAAAATTTACTTTCTCATATTGATATCCTTATACATCTTATTCTATTTTAGGTCTATTCAAAATAGTACAGTGATAAAATTGGTCATTCTCTGCCACCGTATCCCAATATTTTTATGTAAGACAAAGTAAGCTTTTTGTATCCAAAATTTGCAGTTTATGGAATTAAGTTTGTTCTCATCTGCCAGGAGTTGAAAAAAATTGGGAGCATTAATCTGCCAAGTTTTGTTTTTGCCTTATTTTTAGTTTCATCTCCATTATATTGAGCTAATTGGTAAGAAAAAAAATGTATCTTTCAAGGGCTTCCTATGAGGCCTAAAGCACTTGGAGTCCTTTGATCTGGACAGATGTGGCTGCATTTCAGTTTCTTCTCTGTAGGTGTCCTAGTCCCTTCAAATGGCCTAGTAGATAGTATCCAACACAACTCCAGGGGCCTTCTCTTCCATGAAGCCTATATCTATTTCCCAGGCAACATTTATGCACTAGTGTCCCTGCAGTGACAAGGAGAGTTGGCCAAGCCCAATGCAATACCATTGTCCTGTCTTGGCCCTAAAGTACCTGCACCCTTGTTCTCAGTTTCCCAGGCAGGAGTCAGATCTCGGCCCACTGTTCTCATCTGCTTGGAGAAAGCAAGCTCTCTCAGTAGATCCTGTGAAATTCTCCCATGAACTTGAGATTAGAAGGTAGCTCACATCACCATTTCCCAAAGTGGACATGGAGATCTCAGTGTAGCAATGGTTCTTTGCATGCAAATGTCAGCTCTTTTATAGCTCTGCGCTGTGTAAGAGTGGGCAAAGATCTTGCTGTAGATTTCTTTGACAATTGCCTAGGAAGATTTAGAATTTCACTTTAGGATTTTATATCCATTGGTCTTGGTGTTAAGGTAAAACTTTCATGTTCGCCACTTTCCAGTGGTTGAACACGGTATTTATTATCAGGGACGAAGAAAGGAGACAAGAGGGGTAATTTTCTGTATTCGTGCTGTGCTCTTGATTCTACGTCAGCACCTTCACATAGTTGTCTGATTTAATCAACATAACTCTGTGGAATTGTGAGTATTCTCCCCAATTTACAGAGGAGGAAATTAACTTTCAAAGAGTAAAGTTTTAAGGCCACACAGACACTGTGGAAATAGGGCTGCCTGACTGGAAAGCTCCTGTTTTTCTTACTCCGTTGCTACAGGTAAGACATCTAAATCTAATCACCACTGTCAGTGTAGGCCTGCCTGGTTTATTTCTCAGAGAGTTGCCTTCCTTTTGTAGACTTGGATGTAAGAATGTTTGAGATCATTTCTCCTGCTCATGCTCTTGAACATCGCAAACAATCTTAACATTGGCTGAGTCTTAAAATATATATTAAAATTTTTTTTTCAGACAATTGATTTTGAAGGTTTCAAGCTGTTTATGAAGACATTCCTGGAAGCCGAGCTTCCTGATGATTTCACAACACACCTTTTCATGTCGTTTAGCAACAAATTTCCTCATTCTAGTCCAATGGTAAAAAGTAAGCCTGCTCTCCTCTCAAGTGGTAAGTCTAAGTATTTACTAAAAATGTATATAATGCAAAAACCTCAAAGGGAAATGTCAGTATAAGTTCTCTATAAGATGAGATGATTTGCTTAGAAATTACCTTTGTTGCAGGATTTCTCTTTTCATACTAAGATTGTGCAACTAAACATTAGAGAAAATATACTTTATCATTATTCATCACTTGTCATTACAATATCTTAGAAGTCTATGTTTAATAATAAACATACGTTAAAGTCTATGTAATAATTTTAAGAGATACTTCCATAAAATTTAAGAAAGTGCTGTTTTAAATGACTGGAATATATATAATATCATATATCATATGCCATGTATCATGGCATGTATCATACATCAGTAGTCACAAGGCAGTTATGTCTAGAAAACATAGTATTTAATATCACTGTTCAAATTACCAGTATTCTTTCACATTTTTAGATTTGTAAGCTCAGAGTATTAATTTTTCCTCTTAGATACTTAATTCAATTTTGTCACCATAGAGATGGTTAGTTCTGTTATTAGGTGTAGGTTTTAATGCATTACTACCTGTCACTAATTGTGTCACTCTCCACACAGTCAGGAAAACAGAAATCTCACTATATTACTTCAGGGAATGTGAAACAGGAAACTGGTAAAACAGTGTCGGAGAGTTTGAAAAGCAAAGATGAACACTGAGGCATGCGGAGGTACAACCATGGGAAGCTTATGCCTCCCCCAGCTTGGAGTCATCAAAACCCAGAAGCTAGGAAAGAGGACCTCTTAGAGTCGGAAGGCAGAGTTTGAAGGTGGGGGATTTTGCCTGGCAGATGGTGACCATCAGACTCCTGTGCGGAGGAGCCTTCCTGACAGCCTCTGGTAGCTCAGGGACTCAGCCCTGGAAGTCAGACCTCTTGCAGCATCACCATGGTCTTTGCAGGACTGAATGGTGGGCTGTAAGCTGCAGACTAGAGGCCATTTGCTGCTGGAACCAGGTTCTGTCACAGTGAGATGCTGGAGAGATCTAAGAGGAAGTGTAGGTAGAATGGCAGGAACCAAGGCCTTCTCTCTCCTCCCTTCTCTGGTCTCTCTCATGCCCTCTCTGAACCCAGCCAGTTTCCATCAGTCAGTGGAGAAATGTAATCAGCAGTATGTCTCAAACTCTGATCTAGGACTCTTTTAGGCTCCTGAAAAATCCTTGAAGACCCCCAAATGGTTTTGTTTATATGTGTAATATTTATTTCTACTTATCATATTAAAGATGACACAGACTCTGTGACCCCATGGATTGCAGCACGCCAGGCTTCCCTGACCTTCATCATCTTCTGAAGATTGCTCAGACTCATGTCCATTGCAACGGTGATGCCATCCAACCATTTCATCATCTATTGTACCGTTCTCTTCCTGCCTTCAATGTTTCCCAGCATCAGGGTTTTTTTCCAGTGAGTCAGTTCTTTGCATCAGGAGGCTCAAGTACTGGAGTTTCAGTTTCAGCATCAGTTCTTCCAAAGAATATGTAGAACTGATTTCCTTTAGGATTGACTGGTTTGACCTCCTTGCAGTCCAAGGAACTCTCAAGAGTCTTCTCCAACACCACAGTTCAAAAGCATCAATTCTTTGGTGCTCAGCCTTCTTTATGGTCCACTTCTCACATCCATACATGACCACTGGAAAAACTATAGTTTTGACTAGGTGGACCTTTGTTGGCAAAGTAATGTCGCTGCTTTTAACATGCTGTCTAGGTTTGTCATAACTTTTCTTCAAAGGAGCAAGTATGTTTTAATTTCACGGCTACAGTCATCTTCTAAGTGATTTTGTAGCCAAAAAAGTAGTCTTTCACTGTTCTCACTGTTTCCCCATTGATTTGCCATGAAGTGATGGGACCAGAGGCCATGATCTCAGTTTTTTTAATGTTGAGTTTTAAGCTAGCTTTTTCACCCTCATCTTTCACTTTCATCAAGAGGCTCTTTAATTCCTCTTTGCTTTCTGCCATAAGGGTGGTGTCATCTGCATATCTGAGGTTATTGATATTTCTCCCAGCAATCTTGATTCCAGCTTGTGCTTCATCCAACCTGGCATTTTTCATGATGTACTCTGCATATAAGTTAAATAAGCAGGGTGATAATATACAGCCTTGATATCCCCAATTTGGAATCAGTCTGTTGTTCCATGTCTTGTTCTAACTGTTGCTTCTTTACCTGCATACAGGTTTCCCAGAAGGCAGGTAAGGTCATCTGGTATTCCATCTCTTCAAGAATTTTCTACAGTTTGTTGTGATCCACACAGTCAAAGGCTTTAGCATACTCAATGATGCAGAAGTAGATGTTTTTCTGGAATTCTCTTGCTTTTTCTATGGTCCAATGGATATTGGCAATTTGATCTCTGGTTCCTCTGCCTTTTCTAAATCTAGCTTTAACATCTGGAAGTTCTCAGTTGATGTACTGTTGAAGTCTAGCTTGAAGAATTTTGAGCATTACTTTGCTGGCAAAGTGAGATGAGTGCAATTGTGTAGTAGTTTGACATTCTTTGGCATTGCCTTTCTTTGGAATTGGAATGAAAACTGACCTTTTCCAGTCCTGTGGCCACTGCTGAGTTTTCCAAATTTTGTCATATTGTATGTAGCACTTTCACAGCATCATATTTTAGGATTTGAAATAGCTCAGCTGGAATCCCATCACCTCTACTTGCTTTGTTTGTAGTGATGCTTCCTAAGGCATACTTTACTTTGCATTTCAGGATGTCTGGCTCTAGGTGAGTGATCACACCATCTTGGTTATCAGGGTCATTAAGATCTCTTTTGTATAGTTCTTCTGTATATTCTTGCCATCTCTTCTTAATATCTTCTGCTTCTTTTAGGTCCATATCATTTCTGTCCTTTATTGTGCCCATTTTTGCATGAAATATTCCCTTGGATAAACCCCTTAGATGTTGACAAAAATATCATCTTTATGAAAAATGATTGTTTTCAAGCTAAATAATGAGAAGGTGAACAGTATATTACATTGTTACAAATGACTAACATCCAGCTACGTAGACAACAGCTGAGCACCCACATTTGCTTCTGTGTTGACATCATATGTCATGTAACCCCCTGAAAACTCCACTGTACCCTCATAAGAAAATGAGAGTGAAAAAAACAAATGATAGTTCAGAATCCACACTTATACCATTTTGACCTTACACATCCCCTGAGAGAGACTCATGTACCCTATGGAAACCACAGGTCTAGAGACTTCCTGCCCCGGCATCACAATGTAGAATATCAAAGTGTGGGTAAAGAAGTGAGGGGATTTTTACTAGCTAGTACTCTAATAAATAAAAAGTTTAAAACATGTAATTAAGAAATGATTGAGTCATAAACCAAAATTGGGCAATCTGATAAAGAGTTCACACTGTTAAGTTTTATGCTATACTCCTTCCCTTTCTGTTAAAGAAGTCACATATTTTTCCTTGGGTAATTATGTTGTTCCCTGCTTTTAAAAACAGATGTATACCTTTCATATGCAATGTTTTGATCCCTTCAAAATATTAAACAATTAATATGCTTATAGCCTTTACCCATCAAATATTTTAGTTCCTCAAATAATTCCCCATATCTCATGAATTGAGAGGACTCCCCACACTCCCTGGCTGTCTGAGTGAAATTCATTTAGTTTATTCTAATGTATGGTTTCAGCTTATCAGTATTCTGTGCTGAATATTTTTAAATGGTACAGATTCTTACTTGGATCTAGAGATGAAAACTTCTGTATTCTCTGTTTCATTCTATAAATGGTTTGCACATTCAGACATAGCAAAGTTGTCCCTTATTTAAATTTACATGAGCAAACAATACTGTCCTTGGGTTTTGAAAAAGAAGCGGGAACATTTTTTGATATGTTCTCTCTCTGAGTCAACAGATTCAGACTAATTGTGTCAGACTTGGAAGAAAGAGACAAGTTGAATTATTTTGGTATTTTCATAAGAAATTCAAGTCTCAAACCCTCTTTTCTTTAGATAGCATATAGTAAGTACTACATGTAAGGTGCCAAATTTACAAGGAGTAGAGATCAAATGGGATTTCAAAATGGGGAAAAAATAAGGACTAACAGCTTGTACTTCATTTGGGATAATCACACATTCTGCAAAGACCTACTTGAAAGGAATTATAAGGTAGGCTATGTAACTTTCATACCACAAGAATAAATTAAGCCATGATGCCTTTTCAAAGCATGGTCTCCAATTTTAAAACATAGGTACATAGTATCCTTGGTAGCACTCTTTCTCATCTTATGTACTTTTCAGGATTACCTTTGATAGTCTCTTTTTTTTTTTTTTTTCTGGGCAATAAAGAACACTAGTAATAATATTTTCAAGACCTGGGGTAACCTTGACTCAGAAACCATACACACACACACACACACACACACACACACACACATATAAAATTCCTTGAGACTTAAAATAATCTAAGTTATCTACATAAGATATATTCATGTTTGAAAAAAAATCACAAATTATTATTGAATAATCTGGTGCTATAATCTGCTTTGTTGATCGCTCTGAGTTCATCTGTTTCATCGCCCCATTACCATCAGGAATATGATAGCCATTCTTGATTATATATAGACTGGATAATAAGGGCTTCTTAACAAGAAGACATACATTTTAAAAGGAAAAACTATTATTCTTGTTAATGAACAATGATCATGTATTTTATAAAAGTAACATATTTAGTTTTTATAGAATAAAATATTTTAAGATAAACATAAATAGGTATAAATATGAGTGTGTAGGTAGTTGTGTTTGTTGAATGCCTAATGCTCCATCTGGCATTTCATGTAGCAGATGATATATTGTTTTGGAACATTTTGTTGCCGTTAAGTGCTTATCACCTATTTCAATATATGATGATTCATTCTGTTGTTCCCATGTTGGACTCTTAGTTTTTGGATGTATCTCCTATGGACCATCTTTCCACCTTTCCCATAACCTCTTCTGCTTCATTGTAAATGCCAAATCCTTAATCCCAAATCTCTACTAGTC